GTACAGATGCAGGGATGTATCTGTGTGTAATGTTGGCATTACAATGCTGAGATGTATGCACTGCCATATGCACAGATATGCGCACACACTCAGAAACACACAGATACACAGGAGCAAAAACAGTGACACATAGATACACATACGCACTAAAGCAAGTATACTGACGCATAGGTACACATACACATTAATACAAGTACACACACAAACATATACACACAGGTATACACTCAGACACACATGTACACAGACATCCAAGTACATATACACAGGTCCACATACACTATGACACACAGATACACAGGTGCAGATACACAGGTGATGAGCATGGTGTTAATTTTATTGTAGAATACAAAACAAGAATACAACATAAATTGATTATACTTAAGGCCTCACGGCCAAGACATCATATTCTTGTTTCGTCCTGTATTCCACAACAAAACTATCTGGTTCACCAGAACAGCCTGGGGCTTTTCACTTGTGGATATATTTGGAGGTTAGCGGACGTCTACCAAAGAGCTCTGGTGCCACTGATACCACTGTGCAGGGCCACCACCAGAAATTTTAGGGCCCCTGACACAGCTCAAGATCTGGGCCCCCTGGGCCAGCCCTGAGACCGCCCACAAGGATGAAGTCTGTGTGTGTGTATAGTGGATGTAGAATGAGTGTCATGGATGCAGTGGGTATAGTGGATGTAGATTGTACATTTTGTGTTATGTATGTAATGTTTGTATGCATGCATTAGATGCAGAGTGTGTGTGTAGTGAATGTAGGTGTGTATAGTGAATGCAGAGTGTGTGTTTTTGTAGTAGATGTAGTGTGTGTATAGTGAATGCAGAGTATGTGTTTTTGTAGTGGATGAAGTGTGTGTACAGTGAATGCAGTGTGTATTTTTGTAGTGGATGTAGTGTGTTTGTAGTAAGTGCAAAGTGTCCATAGTGCATGTAGTGTGATTGTGGTGAATGCAATATGTGTATATTGAATGTAGTGTGTTTGCAGCAAGTGCAAAGTATGTATAGTGATTGTAGTGAGTGCAAAATGTGTATAGTTCATGTAGTGTGATTGTAGTGAATGCAAAATGTGTATGGTGAATGTAGTGTGATTGTGGTGAATGCAGGGTGTGTATATTGAATGCAGTGTTTGTAGTGAGTGCAAAGTGTGTTTAGTAAATGTAGTGTTTGTAGTGAGCGCAACGTGTGTATAGTGAATGTAGTGTGTGTAGTGCAGAGTGTGTTTAGAGAATGTAGTGTGTGTGTGTGTGTAGTGCACAGTGTTTAGTGAATATAGTGTGTGTGTAGTGCAGAGTGTGTTTAGTGAATGTAGTGTGTGTGTAGTGCAGAGTGTGTTTAGTGAATGTAGTGTGTGTGTAGTGTATAGTGTTTAGTGAATGTAGTGTATGTGTAGTGCAGAGTGTGTTTAGTGAATGTAGTGTGTGTGTGTGTAGTGCAGCGTGTGATTAGTGAATCTAGTGTGTGTTTAGTGAATGTAGTGTGTGTGTAGCGAATGTAGTGTGTGCAGTGCAGAGTGTATTTAGTGAATGTAGTGTGTGTGTTTAGTGAATGTAGAGTGTGTGTTTAGTGCGCAGCGCAGAATGTGTGTAGTGAATGTAGTGTGTGTGTTTAGTGTGTAGTGCAGAGTGTGTTTAGTGAATGTAGTGTGTGTGTTTAGTGAATGTAGTGTGTGTAGTGCAGAGTGTGTTTAGTGAGTGTAGTGTGTGTGTTTAGTGAATGTAGTGCGTGTGTAGTGTGTGTGTTTAGTGAATGTAGTGTGTGTAGTGTGTGTGTATAGAGAATGTAGTGTGTGTGTTTAGTGCAGAGTGTGTTCAGTGAATGTAGTGTGTGTGTGTGCTTGTAAGGATGCAGTGTTTGTGTAAAGTAGGGGGGTGGGGAGTATTTAAAAAAATATATATTTGTGTATATTTAAAATTTAAATTGTATTTCCCCCTCCCTGGCAAGGTAAGAACCAGAGATCGCATTCCCTAATGGTCCAGTGGAGAGAGCCAGCCACGTTACATTGCAGAGGGGGCCCCAGCAGCACACACTGTCTTCCTTTCCAGTTCCTCTCTGACGAAATCTCGCAAGACCGGACTGCATGCTGTGCGGAGCGTTGCCATGGTAACCCTGGAAAGTTAGAAAGAGAGGAGCTGGAAGGAGGATAGAGTGTGCTGCTGGGCCCCGTCCGCAATTTACAGGTAGGGGGGCCCTCAGTGCACAGATATATGACGAAAATCATTATATATCTGTGCACATAAGGAATATGGGGCTCAGACTGCCAGAGCAGTCCGGGCCTCCAGGACCACCGGGCCCATGACAACCGTTATGGTTGTCATGCCCTGATGGCGGCCCTGCCACTGTGCAACATTCTACTACATGTCTATTGTTTTAGGTATTAGTACTTTTTTCCCCAAATGCAACATTCAATAGTGTGTTTGGAATTGTAACCTCAACACCCGGCATATCCTTCTATATAATTTAAAACAAAAAAATATTGGGGAAAATAGCATCTAAAAAGAAGGTTAGTAGTTTCTGACTTTGATTCACTAAATGTTTAATGCATAATTTAGAAATAATTAGCAATTGTTAATACTCACTAGAACTTGGGATCCTTTAAGGCCGTGCATAGGTCTTGAATATAAATGGAACCATTTCGGGCATTCCTTAAACAAGCATAATTTTCTACAGTGGCAAAAACAGTTAGAAAGTCTGAATGATCTGGAAGAGACTCTGCCCCATGATCATATGCATATTCAGTAGAACTGGAGTCAGTGTCATCAGTATAAACTGGTCTTTGAATATCTGAACCTTGGCAAGCTTGAATGAAGAACATCTTTGGTTTGCCAATCATAGATCTGCAATGCTTGCCATCAAAATGGCTGAGAATTGTATTGAGTAATACCGGTTCTCCATCTGTACCATATATGATTCCTGCGTCCCCATGGGAGAGGATGAAGCAAACAAAACTATCTTTCTCGTTGTGGTTCTCTTTGGCATATCGTTCTATGACAGACAAAATTTCTTTCCCAGTTAAGTTGTCGTGCTCTTCTGTGGTATAGTTGCGTGAGTGAAATACACTTTTTATTGCTTCTGGAGGTAGAAAAGTGCAAAGAACAAAAAGGTTTGTAAAACAATAGCTAAAACATGTAAGAAAAGACTTAAATAAACAAAATAAAATAAATAAAAGGGGTACTTTACTGCTCTAACACAAAATAAATAGGTACATATATCCCTAATGCAATTCAAAATACATGCAAAATGTATCCAAAGTAAATGCAAGTAAATGTTACCTTCTAAAGTTTACACAGGAGAACCCCAACCCCTAAAATAACCCAATATTTTGGTAAAATAAACCAACCACCATAAAAAGGAACAAGTGTATTAGTTGCAAGTAAATTGATAACACAAATGAATAACAAGAGAACAGGGAAATTCAGTACAAAGAATCTGGATAGCCTCTGAGACTCAGATACAGAATGCAGGGAGTAGAGCATCCCTGCAACCTTTTGGATACAGAGAGCAGCCCCTCCAGGAACAGCACACAGGGACCAAACTGAAACAAACCCAATGAACTGGCAATAAAAAAAATGGGTAAGCCTAGCCTAAATAGGGAAAGCATAATTAGAAGGTAGGACCAGCTGGGGACACGGTCAGATCTCTTTAGTCTGGGTCCAGCAGCTTGTAACAGCACCAAAGCAAGGTAGTGACACTGTGAGGTACTGCACCATACTGAAAAGATTAGAAAACCAGGGGGAACTAATATGGAATCCTGACAGCACCTACTCTTCAAGGAGCAACTTCTAGACACTCAACCTGCCAACATTTTCCATAGGAAACAGAGAAGAAACCAGGAGGAAAGGGTTGCCCAACCCACTCAAAGAAAGGAAGAGAGGAGGAACAGAAAGTGGCATAGCCCAAGGAACAAACCAGAGTAATAAGTTAGTTTCAGGGAAAACATGTTGGAGCTTTAGAGTAGCTGTAGTACAGATCCCATAAAGGGTGGTGTCCCCCTCACACGGGAAATCTCCCAATATTCAAAAATTCTACAGAGTTTTACTACATATCAGGGCAAATAAATGTTGCCACATAACATTTTACAGTATTTTTCTTGCTAATTACAGCCATACAGTCCTTATGTAATCCTTATAAGTGAATTACAAAATGCCTCTTACCGCTGGTGTTTTCAAATGGGAAATCATGCCCTTGATAGGCATTGTGTACCTGCCTATTGAATGGTATCATATTGGTACACAGGTAACGGGAGCCTAGATAGCCTCTCACCTTTTTCAATTGCGCCTTTTTTTAAATGTGCAGGTGTGTGTCAAGGTGTGTATATCTGTGCTTCTATGTGCCAGTTGTATATCTTACACACAGATATACTCACACACTAACACACAGATACACACACAGTGTGTATCTGTGTGTGTGTGTGTGTGTATGTATCTGTGTGTCAAAGTGTGTGTATCTGTGTTTGTATGTGTCTGTGTATCAAGGTGTGTGTGTGTCTGTGTTTGTATGTGCCAGTGTGTATGAATCTGACACACAGATACACACACTGGTAGATAGTGGCACACAGATACACACACCTTGACACAAAGTGTGTATTTGTGCGTGCGTGTGTGTATGTATGTATGTATCTGTGTGTCAAGGTGTCTGTATTTGTGTTTGTATGTGCCAGTGTGCATGAATCTGACACACAGATACACACACTGACACAGAAACAAACACCTTGATACACAGTGTGTATCTGTGTGTGTATGTATGATTCTATCTATCTGTGTGTCAAGGTGTGTGTGTCTATATTTCAAGTGTGTGTATCTGTGTTTGTATGTGTCTGTGTATCAAGGTGTGTGTATCTGTGTTTGTCTGTGCCAGTGTGTATGTATCTGACACACAGATACACACACCTTGACACACAGTGTGTATTTGTGTGTGTGTATGTATGTATATGTGTGTCAAGGTGTGTGTATCTGTGTTTGTATGTGCCGGTGTGTGTCAAGGTGTGTATATCTGTGTTTGTATGCGCCAGTGTGTGCATCTCTGTGTCAGTGTGTATATGTATCTGACACACATATATACACATACACTGGCATACAGATACACACCGACACACAGATACACACATCTTGACTCACAAATACACAAACACACTCTGATACACACAGTGACATACACCCACTTGCACCCACAGATACACACACAGGCACATACACAAACCTTGACACAGATACACACACTGACACACACACTCTTTGACAGACACACATACACGCTCACTGACAAACACACACACTCTTTCACAGACACACATACACGCTCACTGACAAACACACACACTCTTTTACAGATACACATACAAACACATATACACTCTCATTGACAAAAGCAGATACATTCTCACTGACAAACAGATACACTCACTGACAAGCACAGAAACACATACAAACTCCATAACAGACACACATACAATTTTCTTTTCTTTTTTTTTTACATTTTACTCCACCCAGCCCCCCTACCTTTAGGAGTACTGGCATGGAGTCCCTGAGGTCCAGTGGGGCTGTTGGCGGCTGGCATGAAATCCCTGTGGTCCAGTGGGGCTGCTGGCAGCAGGCATGAAGACCCTGTGGTCCAGTGGGGCTGCTGGGTGGTTGGAGAGCAGTCCCTGGGGCTGCTGAGGGGCTAGCGTGCAGGCAGCAAGGGAGCAGTGATCTCCCTGCTCAGCTCCCTCGTGCTCCTCTTAGTGATGCTGGAGCAACATCATATTCCGGCTCCAGCATCACTGCTGTGCGTGCTAGGGAGCTAAGCAGGGAGATCACTGCTCCCTCACCGCCCGCAGCCATTTTATTTTCAAAATCTTTGGCAGAACCCCAATAAGTGTTCTGTGGAACCCTAGGGTTCCGCGGAACAGCAATAGGGAAACGCTGGCATAGAGTATATACACAACGAATATCTTGGGGGTCTGGGGAATAACAGAGATGGACAAAGTCCCTCCATGCCTCTTGGGTAGGGGACTTTAAATTGGTAATGGATGGTGAACAGATTACTGCCCCCCCCCGTCCCTACCCATGCTGCAAAAAGATTGTTCAGTCCGGCTGAAACCCGGCTTAAATTCTGACCAAACTCAGACCAGTTCTGGCAAACTACGGACATTGTTAAATAGTGTGAACAATGTCCAGGCTTTGCAGACCGAATGACCCTGTACACAGCAGAATGTTTTTTCCCGATTCAGTACAAGGCCATTCAGACTTTACTGAAAACCCCCCAAAAAAGTTTAATCCCATACTGCAACATATCAGTCAAACCAAGTACGACTAAGAATATACTATTGTAATTGGTTTACTTTTTCAATCCTAGTTCCTGCCTCTCCCTTTCCTTTGCTCTGTTAGGTCCCATTTGCACCACCTCTACATATCGGGCATGCAGTACTTGAGTTGAGTTTGTCCAATGTTTATACTTTTGTGAGTGAGAAATGTTCTCTTATGCTCATCATCAGCACCCAGCTCTGACCTTATTTGTACATGATTCCTTGTATGTCTTTGCTACCTTACCTACCTCTGTAATTCCTAGAGAGAACATAATTACAAGGTAGGACCAGCTGGTCACTGAGTTGATGTCTTTTCAGCCTGGGTGCAGAAGCCTGTAACAGCACCACAGCAAGGTAGTGGCACTATAAGGTACTGCACCATACTGAAGAAATCAGAAAACTCAGGGGTATACATGGAATCTTGACAGAGGGCCAGTAATAAAATCTTTAACTCTAAGATAATATAGCTGGTGTCCCTGTCCCAGTGATCTCTCAGCTAAACATGATCGCTCTCTTGGAAAGCAGCTGATATTTTATTTTGAGTTAGAGTTTCAGATCATAATAACCACCAATACATTGTTACAGACACTTATTTTTAGTTTTTTACCTGTATCTTTATCTGATCCAAAACGGTCTTCCATTTTAAGTTTGAGAGACCGGGCTGCTTTGAAATTGTGATTATTTATTATCAAGCACTTGCCATGTGGATTTCTTTTTAGTTCATACACACCAATATCCTACAAAGTGAAATATTTGTTACATATTGTTTATATTGGATATACTGTATATTACATATATTATAGAATAGTTTACACAGTTTAGACAGTCTTACACAATTTATTGAAAATGACA